AGTGGGGGGAGAGGCAGAGGGAGAAGCAGACTCCCCGCTGAGCAGGGAGCCCAAAGCAGGGCTCAATCCCAGGACTCTGAGATCATGACCTGAGCTAAAGGCAGACGCTTAACCAACGGAGCCACCCAGGCGCCCCTAAATTACCCCTTTATTATACTTTTGCTGGAATCTTGGAAGAGGATAAAATTGGATGTTTGTATTCAATCCACAATTTCTACCAGAAATCCTCTTCCCAGCTTTCTTGCCTTCGAGATGATTAAAATGAGGAAGAGGGATAAACTCCTTTCAGTAGCCCGAAGTATATATTGTACAATAAAGAACAGTGGGCCAGCAGTCAAGAGACTATGACTCTACCAAGCTCTACCAAGGGCTTTGTGTGTGAACTTGGTCAAGTAACTCTCCCTCTCTGAGTTTGGATTTCCTCAGCTGGGTTTGGATTGTAATGTTTAAAGTTCTTCATAGTTCTCACATTCTTAAGGTCTGTGTGGATCAAGAGACCGGACCTCTGTCCTCAGTCCAAGTTGTGTGTTTGTGTGTGTGTGTCTGTGCCTCTCCCTTTTTGAATCCTCCCCTCCTGCACTTTCTCCACAGTGGAACACACGGGCCAAGCGGGAGAAGCTGACAGAGCTGATGTTCGAGCAGTACAACATTCCTGCCTTCTTCTTATGCAAGACAGCTGTGCTCACCGCGTATGCTCTGGCTTGAGCGGCTCTGGCTGGGTGGAGGGCCAGGGTGGGGTTTGTGGTGTGCCAAGCTGGAGGCTGGACCTGATCCTGTAGAGATCAATGTCCTGGATGGGCAGACACACACCCTGTGCCCCATTAGTGCAGAGGGGCCCCTGTGGGCTAAGTGCTTTTGACCCTGGGGTGGCCAGATCAGCAGCTCTTTCCTATTCCTTGGATCAGGATGAACTGGGGGTGGGTGGGGAGGAGAGTTGGACCACGTAGATAGCAGGGGCTGGGACTGGAGAGAACAGGGAGGAATATAGAACACTGAGGAGTTTCCTCCCCAAGCAGCCAATCAGCATTCATTTTTTAAGGATCTGCCTTGCATTGGCCCCTGTGCTAGGCCCTGGGGCAATATGGCCCCTCATTTCAAGGAGCCCACAGAGCACTGAACCAAGACTAAAGAGAAACTGGGAGCTCAGAAGGAAGGAAAAAGAGGAAGAAGCTGTGATTCAGACAGGGAAGAAGAGACAGGGGTCTCAGGAACCTTTCTCCAGTGATGGGTCATAAACCAGAATGAGAGATTAGCAGACTGTGGATAGGCTGGACCAGGAGAACAGAGAGTGACCAGGCCAGACCTGAGTCCCAGTCCCCTCACTTGCTGCTGCTGTCTCTTTGACCTATCCATTCCACACCAGCTTTGCAAACGGACGTTCCACGGGCCTGGTGCTGGACAGTGGGGCCACCCACACCACAGCCATCCCAGTACATGACGGCTACGTCCTGCAGCAAGGTGGGGCCTCGACCGGGGTCGTGGATGCCTTGGGGTGGGGGGAGGGACTGGCCCCTAACGCCCTGTCCCTTTCCAGGCATTGTCAAGTCACCCCTGGCAGGAGATTTCATCTCTATGCAGTGCCGGGAACTCTTCCAGGAAATGGCCATTGACATCATCCCGCCTTACATGATTGCAGCCAAGGTGGGGCCTCAGGGGAGTCTTGGGCACTCACCCTATGACTGTTGACCCACGGACCCACTAGATATCAGAGAGGGGAGCAGCAGGGTCCCCAGAGGACCCTCGGTCCAGTTCCTTAATTTACAATCGGACAGGCTGAAGGACGTGGCCAAGGTCATATGGCCAGCTGGTAGCAGGACATATGGGGGCCAGTGCGATAGATCCAGGTTCAAGGTCTGCCTCTGCCATGTGAGAGCTGCGTGACCTAGAGCAGGAGATCGAAGCTCCCCGCACCTCAGTTTATTCCCCTGCGAAGTGGAAAAACAGCATACAGGGTTGCTGTGAGTGTTGAGACACTGCATGCAAGGGTCCACCCTGGACCCTCACATGGAACATGGCTGCTTCTTTAAGGTTCTCGTCTCCCAGTGTATTCCCCATGCCCTCCGCTTTCTCTGGCTGGGGCCTTTCAGATCAGCTGTACCTGCTGCATGAGTGGTGGACATGGGGACAGGCTCTCCCCATTCTCTCCTTTGACAGGGAAGGAGAGACCCCTCTTGTGGGCAACAGAGCAAATAACCCAGTGCCTGTTAGCTGCAGGAGCACAAGTGTGGTCAGGGTAGGCTGGGCAGGGGTGGTGTGGGGAAGGGTGCTCATAGGCTTTGTGCCCCACAGGAACCTGTACGGGAGGGCGCCCCTCCAAACTGGAAGAAGAAGGAGAAGCTACCCCAGGTTTCCAAGTCCTGGCATAACTACATGTGCAATGTGAGGAGAGAGTCCCCCGAAACAGCCCTGGCCCCCCTAGTCCCCTGCCATGAGTAGAGGGGAAGGGACAGAGAGGCCCTGCAGGTGGGCGGCTTGGGGGTGCTGCGGAGGGAGCCCAGGCCCTCACCAGCTCCCTGGGTCCTCAGGAGGTGATTCAGGACTTCCAGGCCTCGGTGCTGCAGGTCTCAGACTCTCCCTACGATGAGCAGTGGGGGGAGAGGCAGAGGGAGAAGCAGACTCCCCGCTGAGCAGGGAGCCCAAAGCAGGGCTCAATCCCAGGACTCTGAGATCATGACCTGAGC